GCCGGGACACCCCAGTCGGCCGTCACGCCGCCGGTGCAGGCGGCTCAGCCCCCCAAGCCGTCCTCCGACCCCCTGGCCTCCGAAATCATCGACATAGATTACTACGACCTGTTCGACGGGGAGGGCCTGGGCGAGGGGGCGGGCTCCGATGGCGCCAAGGGGAAACCGTCGGAGGATAAAGGCATGTCGTGGTCCCTCCACGACCTTTACGATGACTTTACGCCCTTCGATGAGTCGGATTTCTATCCCACCACCTCGTTCTACACCGACGGTGACGAAGAGGACCTGGAGGAGCCCGAGGAGGAAGAGGAGGAGGAGGAAGATGGGGGAGGAGGGCTGGCGAGGGATCTGGAGGACGAGAACACCTACCGGATCCCCACTCCGGTGACGCCCAAAATCCAGACCGAGGAGGTCCAGGAGGCCAAACCCACCAGCCGCCACCACCTTATCCCTCCGTTGCAGACTTTCGTCATCTCTGGCGGGATCGGCGTGGCCACCCCCAGGCCCCGTCCGGCGGACGCAGGAAGGGACTTGAGCCTGTCCGGGAGCAGCAGCGAGAACGGCACAGAATGCCGTAGCGGCTACATCCGTCACAACACCTCCTGCAAGTCCGTCTGCGACACTTTCCCCAGCTACTGCCACAACGGGGGCCAGTGCTACCTGGTGGAGAATCTGGGGGCCTTCTGCAGGTGAGAACGGCATCCTTGGGCCGGGCGGGTCGGGGGTTTCCCCGTTTGGGTGAGATGGGGGTAGCCAAATCTGTCTGGATTTGTTGATATTTTAGACCTGCCGAAAGCAGCCTGTGGCTCTTGAGAACTTCTCTCTCTGGCAACCGGCAGCTATGCAAAAAATAAATCTGCCATTCGTTTAGTGAGGAAGTCTCCTTAGCCATTTGGTCGCCGGAATGAAGAGGCCTGATGTTAGACAGAGAAGCCTCTCAATCCTACGTCCGTGTTTGCATGGTCTGTTGGCAGCCCTTTCGCTAATCCTTTAGAAGAAGCAGCAGCAGCAGCAGGGGGTGACTTCACAGAAGAAGGAAGCCTAAGAGGACGAATCTACATGTGGATCTAAAAAACCAAGAGGCTACCTATCTGCCGGTCCCCTCCAGGTGGCAGGTGGGGAAAGCCATTTTGGCATGCATAAGACGCAGGCGGATGACACTCCCAGCAAATTTTTAAAAAGGCTAGCAACTCTGAGATCAAGGTTCCCTGCGTCTAAACCTCTTGCCTGCTTTTTGCCAAGAGAACTGGGCCGTGATAAATGTCCAAGCAGAGCAGGTTTCAGAAAAGTTCTTCTTGTTAGCACAAGAATTTCCAAAAATTTCTGGCCAGGGGCTGGGTGTGGGAATCCTGGACGGTATCGTTACTAACTTTTCATAGCCCTGAAACAGGGACGTCCTTTGATAAACGGCCTCGATAGGGAAAGTGATTACAGTAGTTGGCGAGGGAGAGAAATGGCACCCACTCAGGGAGACTTGTCTGCCTTTATTCCACATTGCTTCCTATCTGTTCCCTTAAAGGAAGGGTCTGGCCAAAGAGGAGGGGACCTGCTCAATGGGCAGGATCAAAGGGGCCAGGACGGATGTGTGTGCAAAGGGTAATGATAAAATAATATCGTTGTATATTGTATTTTTAATAGCACCCTGAAAGTCTTGCCTTCCCTACCCAACTGCTGGTTGACATTTAAGTCTGCAGATGAGGGCTGACAGAAGGGAATATTTCTCAGCACTACCTACTGTATCGTCTGTCCGTCTGTCTGTCCGTCCGTTCCATCCATCCATCCCTCTCTTTCTCTCCATCCATCCATCCATCCATCCATCCATCCATCCATCCCTCTCTTTCTCTCCATCCATCCATCCATCCATCCATCCATCCATCCATCCCTCTCTTTCTCTCCATCCATCCGTCCGTCCGTCCGTCCGTCCGTCCGTCCATCCATCCACCCTCCCACCCACTGCATTCCTGCTGCTAGAAGATTAGCTGGTCAGAAAGAAAGGAGTCTTCTTAACGGGCATGCTTATTTTCTCAATGCAAGATCCCACTTCACCCCCCAACCCACGAGATTGCATGCCATCACCTGAGCCCCACCTGCAGTCTCGTGCCTAGAAATGCCCCCTTTTCTCCTCTGCTTCGGAGGGAACAAAGCCACCCACAGCTTTGGCAGAGGATCTGGGAGAGGAGCATTGGCGGAGAGGGGCTCTCTCTCCCTCCCCACAGATCTGCTTTGGTTCTCCCGACCAACCGACCAGGCAGGGAGGGAAAGTAGGCTGGGGAGCCCCCCCTGAGGTGTGTGTGGGGGGGGCGGAGGACAGAGTTCTGGGTTTGTGCATCTCAGCTTGTCGCTCCTGGAGCACACGTAGCTGCCAGAGTTGCCCCAGGAAAGATGGCGGAGAGGGGCTCTCTCTCCCTCCCCACAGATCTGCTTTGGTTCTCCCGACCAACCGACCAGGCAGGGAGGGAAAGTAGGCTGGGGAGCCCCCCCTGAGGTGTGTGTGGGGGGGGCGGAGGACAGAGTTCTGGGTTTGTGCATCTCAGCTTGTCGCTCCTGGAGCACAGGTAGCTGCCAGAGGTGCCCCAGGAAAGATGTAGGGGCCCAGTCCAACCGGGGGGGGGTCCCCTTGCTGCCTAATTAGCTGATAGGTTTTGGAAAAGTTACTTTTTTTGGACTACAGCTTCCAAAGGCCCTCCTCCAGTCAGCAGAGCTGGAAAATTCAGGGAGGCATAGTCTGTAGAAGTTAACTTTCCGGAGCTCTGATTAGAGTGATGCGCGGCAACATGTGGCTGTCCGGAAGCCTCCCCCCCCTTTCGAGGAGCCACCCATCGGCCACGGCTTCCTTCAGAAGACCCTAACAACCCGTTTCCACTCCCCTCCCCCTCCTGCCCCGGGTCTCTTTCCTCGCACCCAGAGCCGTTGGCATTCCTTAGCTGTGCCACTTGAGCACCTTTGAGGATCACTTCCCTGTCTTGGGGTCCCCCCTCCCACAACCTTAGTGCTTTTAGGGGCCCCCCTCCGCCAAACTCTCCTTTTACGAAGGGCTAGACTCCCACCTAGCCTGCTGATCCTCCCCTTCCATGTGCGGGCGGTGCCGCTTTTGGTTGTGTGGAGTTTCAAAGAAGTTGAATTTGCTTTGAATTTGCACGACCCCAAAGAGCAAGCTGTTGGCCCCTCTTACCGCAATTTTACAAGTGTGGCTCCTTGTGAATAAGGAGGTGTTGTGTTTAAGAGGGGAGAAACAGAAAGGGAGTGTGGAGCTTCATCCAGGAAGAGGTTTATAAAATTTTTCTTTTGCAGCATATAATTATTGTGGGTGTATGACCCAATACTGTCTGGGTAGACAGTGGGGAGATTTTAAAAAAGGGGACGTCTATACCACCCCATGATGCTAAAGTCCTCTTTGGGTGGTTTACAACATAATTATGCAGACACCAACTTGTTGTCCCCCACCCCCAGTGAGCTGGGTACTCGTTTTTTATAAAATTTTTCTTTTGCAGCATATAATTATTGTGGGTGTATGACCCAATACTGTCTGGGTAGACAGTGGGGAGATTTTAAAAAAGGGGACGTCTATACCACCCCATGATGCTAAAGTCCTCTTTGGGTGGTTTACAACATAATTATGCAGACACCAACTTGTTGTCCCCCACCCCCAGTGAGCTGGGTACTCGTTTTGCCAACCTCAGACACCAACTTGTTGTCCCCCACCCCCAGCGAGCTGGGTACTCGTTTGGCCAACCTCGGAAGGATGGAAGACTGAGTGAACCTTGAGCCAGCTCCCTGAACCCATTAGGGTTGGACTCAGGTTGCGAGCAGAAGCTCAATTGCCTTACTGCAGTTCAGCCACCGTGCCACGAGGCACTTGTTCTGTTCTTTTGTGGAACTCACTGCCACAAGATATTTGGGGAGTGGCTTTGGTTTAAATGACTTTTGGAGAAGCTTAGGTGAATCCAGGAAAGGTGAGGAAAGTTTTCTAAAAAGCCATGAGCCGTAACAATTAGAGGACCTTTATGCTTGAGGACATCTGGCTTCCAAATACTGGATTGGGAGAGGTGAGCAGGCAGGCAGGCAGGGAGACCCGCTGCTTGGTTCTGCATGACAGAGCACAGCACGGAGGAGAGGGCGTCTGCGCGATGCCCCGGAGCTTGGGGGAAAGTTCCTTTTTTGGCTCACTGTGCCCAATGCACAGGATCCCCCAGGTGGCAGGGCCAGCAGTCTTGAGAGGGTGTGGATGTGACCCATCTCACCCTGACTAGTGGCGGACGGCTCTGCTATGACTCCCATCATCCCCCTAATCCACACAGACGGTGGAGGGCCACGCTGCCCCAGGGATTCCGGGAGTTGGGATGGGAAGTCCTAGCGCATGCCACTTCAGACGTGGGGTTTCCAGCACAAGCAATTCTGAATGTTGCCAAAAGAGAGACGACGAGACTCAAACCACCCTCCCTTCTCCTCCTCGCTCCCTCCTGTTGCCTTCTGGGCCATGGGGAGAAGCACGGTGGCCTACCTCGCTGGGCCGTTGTAGAGGTGGCTGAAGTAATTAAGAGGGAGTGCTTGGAGTCCTTCAGAGGGCCATCGCTGTCTCAGCCTCCTCTGAAAACGGTTACCTCCACGATGGCCCCTCATCTAGACTGCCTTTGCCTCTGGAGGTTTTGCTACAGCTCCGGCGGGAGGAGAGGGCCGTGTGGCGGTTCGGTTCTCTCTTTGCTGACGGGGGGGGGGCTTCCTTGTTTCCGGGGCGCAGGTGCAACACGCAGGATTACATCTGGCACAAAGGGATCCGCTGCGAGTCGATCATCACCGACTTCCAGGTGATGTGCGTGGCCGTGGGCTCGGCCGCCCTGGTGGTTCTCCTCCTCTTCATGATGACCGTCTTCTTCGCCAAGAAGCTCTACTTGCTCAAAACTGAGAACAACAAGCTGCGCAAGACCAAGTGAGTGGGAAGGTTCGGCCAAAGGGGGGGGGGCGGGCTCTTCTGCCCCTTGGGTCCCCCTCCCAGAGGGGGCGGGAAGAAGCCACGCTTTCTTTTTTTTTAACCCCCCCCCCCCCCCCCGCCAGCACTTCACTGAGTCCTGATTCTGAGAGCAAAACAGTCAGAGAGTAAAGCCACCAGCGCACGCACGCACGCACGCACGCACACACACACACCCGAGAGCTAGCCTTTTCTGCTCTGCCCAGACCGGCTCTGACTGTTTTATGGCAGGATGGTGCTCAGGGGAAGAGTGGGTTTCTGAATGCCCGGGAGGAGACACCCATGTGCGTTTCTCATTTGTGATCCGCGTGCATGTTGGGCTTTAGAGTGTCCAAAACAGTCTGGGCCAGGCTCAAAGTCTTCTTTCTGCATGGTTTGGGACACAAAGCCCATCATCCCCCAACATAGATCTTGAGGGAGTCTGGTCTGAAATACCCCATGCACATTCTCTCAGACCGGCCCCTCACTAAAAAAGGTGGAATCGACTCCCACAAAAGGCATTGACGGCTGCCGGGGGGGGGCGGTGTGTGTGCAAAGTCACCCAATGGGCGTCACACGTGAGGTGTGTCCAGCAAACCTTGTTCTTTATGAGGCATTTCCAGATACAAATTTAACGGGAACGTCTGGCGCCATCTTCTTGTCAGTCCTTAAGTTTCTTCTTCCCAAAGGAAAAAGAACGGAGAGAGAAAAGGAGCAGGTAGCGCAGAGGCGGGGGGGGGAGGGGAGCGAGTGAATTGTACAGCACAGTAACGAGTTGCCATTATTTTCCTACAAGTAACGGGTCAAAAATCATTACGACAAGTCCTTTGACTTTAGACAGTGACGTGGTTTGCTTCTTTTGCTGGAGAGGGCCTCTGTGCCTTTCAACCGTCGTTGGTCAGGCAGACATTCAACAGGGGCGCCTTCCACCACTGCGGTTTGAGAGGTCTCCGCAAGCTGGCTTGCATTTACCTAGACGTTCAGCCAGCGCCAGAGTCGCCCAGTGGGATCCCTGCTCCTGCGGAGGAGGCGAGGCGGCTTCTCCAGCTAAACCCAGCCACCTCTGGTGATTTATGGGCCAGTCTTGTGCCTGGGAGGGTTGCCAAGCCGGTGTCCTCCGTCGCCCCCCCCCTCCCTGCCCGCCCGCCTGCTTGCCTTCCTCTGGGGCCGTAAATTTCCCCGGTGCAACTGGAGCAAGACAGAGGAAGAGGTGAACCGGAGTGGCAGAGCGGGGAGGGGGAGGAGCGGCCACCGGGCAGGGCTTTCCAGACCGCCCAGGTGGAGCGTCCAGCGCCTCCGAAAGGATGCGATCCAGCTCAGTGGATGTGGTGGCGGTGGGGCCCCGATGACCGCTTGTAGGTGGCTCTGGACACTGCCGGGTTGCTGTCTGTGTGGAGAATGGCTTGCGTGGATACTCCTCCTGTTTTTAATTCGAAAGAATGAGAAAGACGTTCTGGGGAGGAAGCAAATGTCCCTGAGAGGCAGGATCCTTTGCTAATCCAGCACCCGGAGGGTCCCTTAGGGTCTCCCTTCCAAGCAGGGCCGAGCCTGCTTAGCTTCCAGAATCACACAGTAATCGCTTGGTCCTGAGACGCAGGGATCCTTCCCGGAGAACAGGAAAGGCCCCTTTTCCAGGGAGGGGCCGCTGTACAATCAGCATGGGTCAGGAGTCCCAAAGGTGGCTTTTTCGTTCTCCAGACCCTTCCTGCTCCCCCGCCTGCTGGTCCGTCAGTCGTATGCCTGCAAGTAAAAAGGAAGCACATTTTCAGTTCAGATTGAGAAAGGATGGGCTCTGGGTGCCTTTTGCAGTGGGGGTGTGGGGGTGGAGGCGCTGGGGGGCAGGCAGAAGGAGGNATTTATGGCCGCGTTCAGCCCCCCCCCCCCCCCGTGGAGAGATGGCTTAGAAGGAAGGAATAGAGGGAAGGGTCGTGTGGACATGACGCTATAACCTTCCAGCTGGAGGCCAGAGCATGAGCCACTGCCTGCCCGCCCGCCTGCTCCGCTCCTGCGGTCAGCAGCCTGCTAACCCCGCATAACCCCGTGAGCATCTGGATCTCGAGGCTGAGAGCAAGCGAGAGCGTTTCATGGCCGTTGGCAGCAGGAAAAGCTCTCGCCGGATGCCAGCGCATGGCCCCTCCCTGGCAAGCTGGGTCCCTAATGAGCAGTTAATTATTGTTTTGCAAAGTGCCATAAGCAATTATCCGGGAGTGCTGTGGGCTCTGCCTGGCTCTCAAACCTTCCTTTGTGAGAGCAGGACCCATTTCCCCACCCCATCTCCATCCTGGGTACGGGTGGCAGCGCCAGCCTTGCCTGGATATTCTCTCTTCCTCATGCCTGACGCCTAGAACCGAACAAGGCAGGTCTCTGAGAGAGCCCTTTTAACCCTTCTCTCATGGTGGGTCAGGACAGGGAAAACTCCCCCCCCCAAGGAATTCCTTGAGCGAAATTGGGGAAAGGGATCTCTCCCTGCCTGGGTGAAAACTCCACCTTTGCAAGAAACGCAGCATCCATTTCATTTCAGAAGCTTATTGCCCGCGGTTGTGGGTTCCCTCCGGAGTCTCGGAATATCCTTAAAACATCTCGGAAAGGGGGTGAAATGAGATTTTGGATGGCAGGAGCACCCATTCTGCGCTTGGCCAGACTCCTCCTCTCTCCTCTTGATCAGAAGAACTGGGGTGCATTATGCAACCCCCCCTCCCTCCTTTTGTAAGCGTTACGCAAGCAGTCGTTGGTTGCTTTGTGAACCCCACCAAGGGGCAATGGGTGGCATTCCTCACCCCCTTCCTCTCCTTCACCCCGTTGCCTTCCAACCCTCTCGGGAGGTGGCTGAGCAAGCAGCTGGCTCGAGGGAAGTTCTCAGGCTGAACTTGGTTTTCTGCCCATCATCCTGGTCCCTGTGGCACACGACAGACAAGTGCAACAGGTTGGGAATGTTTGCACCTTGGAATGGGAAAGGTCGAACTGCTGGAGGGGGCAGGATTTCGCCTCCAGCCCTTGGTCGTTCACAGCCCTTGCTATGGTCAAGCCGCCCCTCCCCCCCCGCCTCTAATCCTGCTGTAAACGCCATCGACCACCACGCTGGGGGCTGCCGGTTGCCCTAACGAATCCCGCCGGGAACTGAATTCCAGAGCCTTGTGCGAAGCCTCCTGCGTCGGCTGCTAGCCCAGGTCACGGGGTGACCTGCCCCTGCGGGCCTCGGATGTTTAAAGAGAGCGGCAGAGGGCTTCCTCCCGCACCGTTTCCAACCCCAACGCTCCTCCCCCCAGCCTCTGGCACCTGCCCTCCCCAAGGGGCTCCTCGCCCTGCCTGGCCCTCCACGCTGGCCCTTAGGCAGGAGGGCTTCCTGTTTCTCTGCCTCAGTGGGACCGCTTTCGGTTCAGAGATGCTTCCCGGGCCAGTCGCCCTGGACGATTTTGCAAAAGCTACTATCATTTCTGGGCTAGACTTCTGAAACACGTCCGGCCAGGAAGACATTAAAGCGCAGCTCCCACCGCCTGGTTCTCTGCTTGGCTGCTGCAGCCCCCGCGTCTTGCAGTGTGTCTTCAGGGAATGAACCTGGAGGCAGTTTATGGCTGTATTTGCTGTGCTTTTCTGCTGCCTTTCTCCAGAGAAAGACCCCTAAGTAGGTTCAGATGGGTGCGGAGGGGGGCCTTTTGTCCCAGAAAACTCCCCCCCCCCCAATTAGCTGTTAGCTCCCTTCTGGGGTTCTCCACCAACTGGTTCTGAGTTACATGAGCACTGACTAGGAGGCAGAAATACCTCTGGACTCGATAGTTTTCCATTCTCCCTCCCTCCCTCCCTCCCTCCCTCTCTCTCTGCTGGCTGGAGATAGTCATAGTCTAAAAAGTCATATTTCAGAGCTTCGCTTCAGGAGGACTGGGATCCTGAGGATGATGGATGGCTGCAGGATGGAACGTTCTCCCCACGGCTTTGCTGTGGTTCCCAGGAAGCTGGAGGAACTCCTGCCTGCTCGTGCTCTAGCATGCCAATGGGAATGGGCCAGCCAGCTCGCACTCCCAGGGCAGACTGCAAACGGGGGAGGGGGGGAGGCCAGTGCACCTCGCCCGGGAAGCGCCGCCGGCCAGCCTTGGGGGCCCTGCATCCGCCTTGTGCCAAAGTCTGGGCGGTTTGCAGCTGGTGGGGGGGCTGGGGGAGGTCGGGAAGGGGGGCACCTGGAGGAGAGACTCCAGCTATTTGCAACCCTCCCCATGCAGAGAGAGAGAGAGAGACAGTGTGGAGGGCGGTTGGGGGGGCAGCCTGGGAACTGGTGGGGCCTGCCTTCCCGAGGAGCAAGCAACCGGAGCCCCCTTCTGCAGGGGTCATGGGAGCGGCCCCAGCATGTCAGGCCAGGCGGGCTCTCCCTTTTCTTCTGGGAGCGCCTAACAAATGCAAATGAGCCAGGGATTTCCCCCCCCCCAACGTGCCCCACTGCACAGCCACAAGGCCATCTCCCTCCCCAGTCCCTGAAAAGAGCTTGGTGGCAGTGGGGGGGGGGCGGGGAGGGAGGGAGACCTGGGCAGCTGCTTCTCAGCAGGAAGGCGCCTTAGCCTGGCAACGGCAGATGGTGGGCATTGTCCTTCCCATGGGGGGTGGGGTGGCTGGACGGGGCAGCGGGACAGGGATGGGAGGAAGGGGGGATCCCAGAGGGTGGGCACTGTGTGTGTGTGTGTGTGTGCGTGTGCGCGTGCGCGTGCGCGTGTGCATAGAACAGAACCCGAAAAAGCTTGCTGGCTCTAGCCAAGAATTTCGCCATGCTGTCTCTGGAACTCTGGGAATTCTCATCCCCAAAACCGGGGACTTCCATAAACTCCGGCTCTGCTGGATGAGGCAGGGGTCTGTTTCGTCCACCTTACTTTCAGGGCCCCCTTCTTCCGTTTCCCGAGACGAGGGTCCGAGCAGAGCTGGCCTTTGGCTTGGAGGGCGTTTCCAGGAGCTGCCCTAAGCCTCTGACTGAGGGGGAGGCATTATGTAGGGTCAAATATGGAAGGGGGGGGAAACAGCAGGGAATGAGATTGTTAAAGCCAGGGCAAGAATTTTCCTTTCCTAACCTGTCACATTATCCCCTTAAGTGGTTGCAGAAGGAAGACGCTGGAGAGATCTAAGCCCCAAGCCAGCTTAAAGATGCAAAAAGCCCCTTCTAATTGTTCGGAATCCATTGGAGGCAGGTCACCTGGCTTTGCCACCCACGGGAGAGTTTTTACTCACACATGGCCATGATACTTGAGGAATTTGGGGCGGGGGGGGAAAGCTGTATTCCAACGCCATAAAAGTACATACTTCTAATAGGTGTGTGTGCATAGATCAAGGGAACCTCAACCGATGATTCTTGTCAATAGTAATGGAAAACCACTTGTGATTGCCATTCCAAAACTTTAAAAAAGAAAGTACCTTGAGACAAGGAATACCCGTTTTGATCAAAACCGAGTTGAAAGTTTGCAGGAATATTCTGCACCGCCAGGAAAGTCAAAGTAGATGGAAGGCTTTCCATAAAAGGCCTGACACCCAGCGAAGTTGCCTGCGGCAGCTTCCCCTTAACAGTGTAAAAGTGTGTTCATAAGTGGCATAAGATTGTGTTCATAAGAAGCGCGGTCTTCTCATCATGTCAGATGGCCTCAGCCCTGCATGGTCCGGGGGTTTAAAAATGAGTGACCTCTGGTTTACTATGGCTGCAAAGTTCTGGAAGGGACACAGCATGGACAGCTACTCTCTGAAGCATCATTTAGTCGTGTTGTTGCACTTTGTGCTGTTTAAAAAGGAAGTGGCTCTAATGACCGGTGGCAGCAGTTTTAAAAGATCTGCCTGGCGTTGCATGATGGGTTCCTCCTTCCTTTTCCTTGAAGTTCTGTTCCAGTGTTGCTTTTTAAAAAAAAACGCTCCATGGCTGATATGAAGATGGCGTAAAATTTGCCAAATTCCCGCCGAGATGCCTCCAAAGTGGAATTACAAAATGTGACTCATCACCCCAGGAGTAGCTCGTTGGTTGAGTGTGAATTGTTCCTTTCCAGCCGTGAGAAGGAAGGGCTGAAGGAGGTGCCACGAAAGGATATTTTACGTCATTTCTCTTTCTCCCGGTTCCCTCCCCTCTGCTTCCCGGCAGATACCGCACTCCGTCCGAACTCCACAACGACAACTTCTCGCTGTCCACAATAGCCGAGGGCTCCCACCCACATGTAAGGAAATTTTGCGACACCCCGTGTAACCTCTCCCCTCATGCCCGTGCATTGGCTTACTATGATAACATTATCTGTCAGGTAACTCGTCTTCTTCACGTCTCCCCCCTTCTGCATGCCTCAAGGTTGACCCCCCCTCCTTCCCAGACCCCCCCCTTCCTGCCTGCTCCAGAGCATGCTCAGACCAACCCCAGCCAGGGGCCAGGGTGGGATCCCGACTCCCCCAAAAGCATGGCCCCGTGGAGACCAGGGGAGGGGTGATGCCATCAGACTTGGGGGGGGTTCATGGAGGAGTGGTCTTCACACCCCTGGAACCCAGGGCAGAGCCCAATGGCCTCCCCCTACTCAGCTCCAAAATCCCCACATTCCCCCCCCCCGAAAAATGCAGACTGATTTCAAAGAGGGTCATGTTTCCTTGAGCCCAATTCCTCATGCTTCACACACACAAATGCAAACCCACCCCCATGAAAATTTGGGAGTGGCCATGCCCCCCCGAAAAGAGCTGTAAAAAGAGAATGGGGGGGTCTCCAGAGCTTGAAGGGCTATTCATGGTGGACCCCCCCCCACTAAAGCCACAGGGAACAGAAGGCTAGCCTTTGAGAGGGCTCCCACTCAGGCAACCAGACCCATTAGTCTGTCCACTCAGTGGTCAGCCACACCGGCCGGACACGCGGCGTGGGAGAGCGGTGGTTGCGATCCCAGGGGATCAGCAGGTGGAGCAGAGCTTGGAAGCGTTCTCTTTTTTGACTACAACTCCCAGAATCCCCACTGGCCATTCCGTCAGGGGGACTCCGGAGCCTGTAGTCCTGAATCTGGAGGAAATATCAAGCCAACTTCCACGCCCCAATTCTCCCTTACGTTTTTTGGCCCACAGCAGGGGAGTGAGGGAGCCAGAGAAGGGGGGGGGATTTTGAGCTGACTTGGGGCCCAGAACCCCAAAAAGGATGCCCAAGACTTTTGCCCCATTGAAAGGTGGTTGCTAGGCGACAAAATGGCGCCTTTCTTCTCCAGTGTGTTGGGGCCCTTCCTCCCCATCATCCCACACAGCCAGTCCTGGGGGGGGGGTCTGGGGGCACAAGGAAGGGATCGGCTCTTGCGGTGGCTGCTAGGCAACACAGCATGGGTTGGGGAGGGCACCCCACCCCCAGGAGCCCTTGGCCTCTGGAGTGGTCCAGATCCTGCCCTGTTGGGTGGGGAGAGGGAGAGGCCAGTGGCAACGTTTGAGGAAAGAGCGCCAGAGAGGCAAAGGTCTGGGACTGGGGAGGTCCAGGTTTCTAGTCCTCAGTGAGCCCTGAAACCCAGGCAGTTGACCCCAGGCCAGCCTCACAAGCTCTCAACCAGGCCCGGGGGCCTGTCCACCGCTGGCTTGCATGTTCCCCCCAGCCGAGTCACCCCTGCACTGCTGTTGCTTTGGGTGTGCCTGAACCACGCACTTCCTCCTCCTCCTCCTCGTCCATGTTTCTTCCCCATCCCCATGCTCGTCTCGTCTGCCATGGTGTCTGCCTGTCCATCTGTCCGTCCATCCGTCCGTCTGTGACCAGCTAGCTACACCTCTCTGGCCGGAAGCAGGGCGGATGAGGGCTTTCCAAGGGGTGGGGTGGGGAGGAAAGGGCCGAAATGGGGGGGGTCGAGGGGGAGGAACGCTGCTCTGCCTTGGCTGCCTCCTTCTCCGCAGCTGCCACTTGGCCACGGGGTGGGGTTGAATGGGACGGATCCAGAACACGTGAGCATGCGCCGGGGGCTGCTCACCCTCCAGGGTGTGAATGGTTCTCCTAAGCCTGGGGTTTGAGCAGAGGGGACCTCCCGAGAAGCTCCTGCCTTGTCCTCTCACTTCACGCCTCTCGTTCAAATGCTTGTATTCCTTTATTTGAGGTATTTGACACTCTGCGTTTCGGTCTTTTAAAAAAAAATAGTCTGAACAACTTTCAATGGAGATGAAATAATGCCAGTTAAAGCTATAGGGCTCCCCACTGGTAATAAAATACGTCCAGTAGATTTGCTTCTAAGCGAGCAGAGGCAGGCAGGGTTTTGTGGCCAACCCCCCCCCCCAATAATCATACACAAAACCAAAGCTCAGAATCTCCCCCCCCCAGCTTTTACTTGGCTTGTGGCAACAAGGAAGAAGCAGTCCCCCCAAAAAGCAAGTTTGGGCCAAAACTTTAAAACAACAACAACAACTAAGATGGGTTGGATTCCGAATGTGAATCCTGTTCCACCACCACCTCCGTCCTCAAGGGACTTCTGGCAGGATACGGCCTTCTCATACGACCATTTGGGCCACAAGCCTCTTTGCATTGTCCTGTGACAGGAATACGGGAATCTGCCTTCCGCTGACTGTTGGGTCTTCTGGTTTAGTTGCGTCGAGAAGACCTGGCCGTGGGAGGACTCTTTCCTGGCCTGGCCTGGAGATCCATAGGAGCCTCCTGTCTGAGCGTTAACCTGGCCAGGCCCTGCTCAGCTTCCAAAACCGGAAGAGATCCGTGGGCTCGGAGTGCGAAAGACACCTCCTTGATTTGGGAGGCGTGTCTCATGGTCCTTTCCAAGACACCTGGTTCGAGCAGTCACGTGGTTCCACCGACAGCTGTCAACCGTTAGGTCCCTGTGTGCTGTTGAGCAAGTCGGAGCGGCTTTCCCCATCCCATCCTTTTTCCTCAGCGCCTTTCTCTGTCCCACACCCAAGCCAGGAGGCTGGGCCACCAGCCAACCTGGCTTGCTCAGATTCGAGATTCAGGGGCTTTTAGATTTCCCCTCAAGACAGAGAGGCGGCCGTCAGAAGGCCCAGCCCCCTCCCCTGCTTGGATTAGAATCACGTCTCTGCCCATGACCAGGTAAATCAAGATAGGAAGCCAGGTGTCCTTAGTCCACACACCCAATGATGCAGCCGGTCTTCCCTTTTTCCCCCCCTCTCTCGTACACCCTGCCTTTTCCATCCGCTCTGTCTAGGATGACCCCAGTGCCCCTCACAAGCTTCAAGACCCCTTGAAATCCTGCCTCAAGGAAGAAGAGTCCTTCAACATCCAGAACTCCATGTCACCCAAGCTGGAGAACAATAAAGGGGACCCGGACGCTGCCGACATGAACTGCCTGCAGAACAACCTGACATGAAGCCGGAGAGGAGCTGGGAAGGCAATCGGGAGGAGAAGGAAAAACTGCGAGAGCCATTTCCTCTTGTACAGATCTCATTCCTCGTAATCGTTCCGTTTTTCTCCCTGCAAACTTCATAGCATGCTTCGATGTATTTTCTACAGGGAGGGAAGACAAACCAATAATAATAAGGATCATCATAAGGATAATAATAATAATAATTCACAAGAAGATTAAGTCCTCAAGTGTCCCTCCATGAATCTGTGTGCATTGGGTTGTTTGGTATGATGTCCTTGTCTGTATATTGCCTGGATTAGCTTGCCCCACATCTCCCTCCCTTCTTCACCCCCCCACCCCCAACCCATGGTCCACTTTCTGTGATTTCTAAACCTTTGCTGTAACTCGACTGACTTTTTTTTTTGTACTCTGCCCAGCCTTTTTTGAGAAACGAGTTTAAAAATGTGGAAAAAAAATTTCAAGATCTTGAAATAATAACAATAACGACAATAATAATAATAATAAAACTTTTTAAAAAGTTAAATCACTGCCATCTATCTCTTGCTTTGTGCCGAGGGTGGGCCTGTGAGTGGTTTATTCTTGAGGATCCGGTACCAGGGAATCGAGAGGGCAGGTTGGGGCCGGGCAGACGTGGGATGACGGGTGGAGGACGAGGACCAACCTCTGAAGTTTTACAGAGACGGAAGATACACCGTTGGTCTCTTAGGTCACCTGAGAACCACCGTGTTGGCTGTTTTCTTACTCTCCTTGGCCGGTGGACTCTGTATTGCCCATGTACGTATATAGCTAGTTCTGGTCAGCGGCTGCATTGTTTTGACCCCCAAAGTGGACGTTTCAAGATCTGCCCGTTTTGGGCCCTTCAAGGCACCTCCTTTGGCCCTTAAAGGTGCAAAGGATTCCAGTCGAATCCTAGACTAATTGAGTTGGAAGGGGCTTCTAAGGCCATGGAGTCCAACCTTTGCTCAATGCGAGAAGCCCAAGTGAAGGTATATCTGACAAATGGTGGTCCTATTTTCTCTTGAAGGCCTCCGGTGTTGGAGCGCTCACCACCTCTCGAGGTCCTTAGTTCCACTGTCATCCTGCTGTAACAGTTAGGACATTTCTTACTCTCCTTGGCCGGTGGACTCTGGCTTCCTATATCTTGAGCCCATTATCATGCACACTTGGATGATGGAGGACAGATCCTGTATTTTCTCTTGAAGGCCTCCGGTGTTGGAGCGCTCACCACCTCTCGAGGTCCTTAGTTCCACTGTCATCCTGCTGTAACAGTTAGGACATTTTCCCTGATATTCAGCCAAAATCTGGCTTCCTATGTCTTGAGCCCATTATCATGCACACTTAGATGATGGAGGACAGATCCCTCCCCCTTCTCTGCAGGACTCCCTTTCAACTCTTTGAAGAGCACTATCCTGTCTCCCCTCCATCTTCTTTTCTCAAGACTAAGCACATCTAGTTCTTTCAGCCTTTCCTCTTAGGGCTTCCTTTCCAGTCCCCTGATCCTCCTCCTTGTTGCCCTCCCTCTGAACTTGCTCCAGTTGGTCAGCATCCTTCTTGAAGTGTAGTGTCCAGAACTAGACACAGTACTCCAGATCAGGCCTAACCACTGCTTGAACAGAGAAGCCTTAGTTTCTTGCCCCGATCTTGCTTCCTTTTTCGCCACTTGCAAAATGAACTTTGGAACCTCTGCCTATTTAGGCATGCTGGCCGAAAAAGCTTTTTGGTCTGGTTTGGTTCCCCCCCCCCACGTATCCAAACCCCTTATTCTGCTCCTCCAGTAAGTATCTATTTTGCTTCCTGTGGTGATTTTTGGACTGGAGAAAAGAAAAATGTATGTTAGGTCTAGCAATAAATGAGAAGTTCTGGATCTGATGTGGTGTTTTTAGCATCTGGACAACGTTGAACGGCAGTGCCTCCCCGCCCCTTTCAGATTAACAGCCTGCCTGCCCCCCCTCAAAAGTGGGAAGTGCAAAATGCTGTCCACGTATCAACAGGGCAGCATCTCCTGATGCCAAACAGAACGTCTGTGGCTGTAGCTTTCCTGCCCATCTCTTTCCCTCGGCTGCAATCTGATGTCGCCGTGTAAACCGAACCTTCGTTGTTTCCAGGAGGAGTAATACAATAAAATTCAAAAGAGGCGCTAGCATAGTTGCCAAATGGAATGTGTGCCATCCAGATGGAGTGCCGTTGAAGACATGACCCCAGGGAAGACCGAAAAGCCAAAATCGCTGCCGAGCAGCCGAAACGTCTTCAGATAGCCCATTTGTGATGAGACATGCTCATGCCTTCTCATGATGCCGTGAAAACTTTCCTTTTGAGGAAGGCTTCTGGGTCTTAACGTGTTTTGATTTCCATGAGAATTGCCCCAATGGCTGTTTCTTAGGCCTCGCGTCTTCCAGTTATCGTTCTGTTCCTGGGGTGCTGCTTTGCTTTTTGTTTTGTTTTACCATGATGGGTGGCGACCCGCTTTGGAGGAAAAGAAGGCGATTGATGGAACACCGAACGTGTGCTTTAATGGGCCGCATCAGAGGAAGGGCTGCATGGTTAGCACGGAGCGAAACGTCCCTGGAATAGATGGCCTGAATGTTAGGGCCTCGTTCTCAGTGAAGCAACCCACCCATCTGGCATTACACCCCTCGAGACGGTGCCACGTCCAATGGCTCGCATTTATTTATTTGGCACCTTTCTGCCCCCCTCTTCCCAGTTGATCACACCACTCAGCCACATGACAAAGAGATGCCTCCGAGACTTCAGGCATGTCCTTGCGTTCAAAACGTACCCTGTCAGGGAGAAAGGCCAGCCGAGCCCCCTATCTTCTCTGCATCCTCTAAGTCAGCGGTTTCCAACTTTGGGTCTCCAGATATTCTTGGACTTGCAGCTTCCAGAAAGCTTGGCCAGTGCAGCGGGGTGTGTGTGTGTGAAGGCTTCTGGGAGTTGCAGTCCAAGAACACCTGGCTTGCCCAAGGTTGGGAACATGTTGCTCTAAGTCAGTGGTGTCCAACCTTGGCCCTCCAGATGTTCTTGGACTTCAATTCCCAGAAATCCTGGCCAGCAGAGGTGGTAGTGAAGGCTTCTGGGAGTTGCAGTCCAAGAACACCCGGCTTGCCCAAGGTTGTGAACATGTTGCTCTAAGGAGAGGATTGCCCAGAAGCCTTCACTACCACCTCTGCTGGCCAGGATTTCTGGGAATTGAAGTCCAAGAACATCTGGAGGGCCACAGTTCGACACCATTGCGAGAGGATTAAGCCTAAAAGTAGCACAAAAAGCTTCAGGACTTTGGACAGCGCCCCAGCAGGAAAGGCTTCTCCTGGAACAGCCCTGGCTGGCTGCTTTTTGCTTTCCCTGACTTCTCCTTCCTGGGGAGACCCGGAGAAAGGAAGGAGGCAGTGGGGGCGGGGGCAGAGACTGGCGCTGCATCATCAGCTGCCGAGGCCCCCAGCTTCGCTTCACCTCTGCCCACCCCACCTCCTTTCCCAGGGGACGGGGCTTGAAAGATGGCGAGGGGTGCCTGGGAAACCACTGCGGGCCAGATCAGAGGTCCTCGTACTGCAGCCTCAAAGGTTTGGTCGCCTTTGGAACAGTGTCTGCATCTCTCTCTCTCCCCCATCATCTGTACTGTTGACCCTGCCCTGTGCCAAGGTCAAGGGACCGGCTCTGGCTGGCACCGTGGGGGCTGGAAGGCAAGATCGAATGGGCAAGATGGCCCAGCAAAACTTTGCTAGGGTCGTCCTCCAAGCAGTAGGGGAGGGGCCCACATGGACTCCCCGTTGTCCAAAAAGGCCCCCTCTCTTTAGCTGAGCCTTCTTGAGATTCGGAGGTCCATGGGGCGCCCTTCTGCTTGGTCCCACCAGCCCCACGAGAGCAGGGCCTTTTCGGTGGCTTCCCCCACACTCCCAGATGGCAAACTCACTTCAAAGGAAGGCTCAATAGCTACTCACCCGGTGTTTTGTCTGCAAAACTTGGGGGGGGTTGCCTGTCTCCTGGGGAAGGGGGGCTTTTCATGGAGGAGGGGGTTCTGAATGGTTTAACCCTTCTGAAAGGCTCATCAATCATTCACATTCTGAGCTTGCCTTACTCTACCCTTTTACAAATCCAGAAGGTCAACGTGGGTTTGCTTTCAAAACGTTTTTGTCAGCCGGCTCAAGCCGCTTGAATGAGAAAAAGCAGAGTGTAAAATAAAGAAATAATTCAGGCAGAAAAACATCCCTGCCAGAGAACAGTGGATTCATTCTTCTTCTGGGAGCCCCCAGCAGTCTTCTGGATAACCACCCACCCCACCTCCCAGGGGCAGGGGGGGTTCACAAGATGCCTCGGCATCTACCCAGCCTTTGAGAAAGTTACGTTTTTTAAGACGACAACTGCTCTACAGGTATGGCAGCTGGGGGCTTTTGGGGGCGGGGCTGTTGTCCGGACCTGTAAGGTTCAGGATCTCTCATCCAAAATCCTCAACAGCCTCTGCTTGGAAGCAGGCTTGCCCCCCCCCGTCCTGGAGAGGTGGGCGGCCCAAGGCCTCTTTTGCCCAGGCAGGCCACCCATCACTGCTCTCTTCCCAGACCGAGAGGGTACTGACGCTGGCGGGTGGGTGGGCAGGCGGGCGGGCGAGCGGCCCCTCCCGATGGCTGCTTTCCACGCCTCTGTGGGCTTCCAAGGGAACAGCGTTTGCCCTTTGCCTCCCTAGACAGCTTGACCCATTTCTGGCTGCAGGAGTTTTTTTTGTGTGCCTGCCTTTGCTTCCGGGAACCCAGATCAGGGTTAGTGTGCCAGAGATGGGAAAGGGGCCAAGAGGCCTCGGCAAGGGGGGGATCGGCCTGTCCCTGTATGATCGCTCCCCTCCCCTCCACACACCACAAAAACCACCCCCTGCCGTGGCAGATGGAGCCTGGTGGGGCTCAGGAGGGACGGTTGTGGAAGAGTGTATTCCTTCACAGGGTACTAAGTTCTGCGGCTTCTCACTGAGGGTGTCACTTTCAAAGCATGGATTTTAGGAAAGTCTTCGAGAATACGTTTAGGAAAGCAACTTTTGGGACAGGAACGGTCCCAAACCCTCCAGCCGGTCTGTTGTCAGCGAACCTCCCATGCATGAATGTGCTTTTCTATACTTGGACGTACGTGCCCCCCCCCTCAAATGATGCTTCGGGACGGCGATTCAGATTTCGACCGCACATTTTAATCCACACCCCTTACGGATCACAGAGGGCCCTCCCTCGTGCCGGAGCAGATCATCATCATTCCCCTTCGGCCGGGCATCCTTCCTCTTTCATTCAATAGCAGCAGCCTTGTGGGTCCCACCATCTGCAAAAAGTGTCCAGGGCCGGGCAGGCGGGAGGGAAAGGACAAGAAGGCGGTGGAGGTCATTGGGTGACCTTGGACCTCTCGCCACCGCCTAGCCTACCTCGCAGAGGGGTTGTGAGGACACAGTCAGCGTCAGAAGAACCAGGTCCCTATGGTGCCTGCAGGCCTTTGGAAACAAACCGGAGATCTATGATCCGTCACAGCCACAATATAATCATATTGATAACAATCAAGGTAATAATTGTCCTAGTTTGGCTCCATCTGGAGGGAATCTTCAGCCTCGTTATCTCGTGGACCACTTTGTACACAAAGTACAGGCACCTTGTCATCTCTGGTGCTGAATCTACTATGTAGTTCAAGACGGAAGGAAAGCGACAGGGGCCTCGAAGGACATCGTTCGTGCAAGGCAGTTCCCGCCACCGGCCACGGCAGTCCGTGGGTGGGAAGGGTGCGCCTGACGTGGAACAGGCCTGGTGGCTTCAGAGGGACCCTCGGCGTTCCCGGAGCCTTTGCCCAAAGCCGCCCCCTCCCTGCTTCGGATGAACTGGCTTGCCTCTCCGTGCAGCAAGGCTGGCTTTGTCAGAAGAAAGTTTAATCACTTTTAAATGGCGGGGAGGCTATTAAATTTCAATGCTTGGTTAGCTGGCCGAGGGCAGGGAGGCTCCTCTGTTTTCGTGGGAGGCTAATGGCCACCAGAGGGAAAGAGGGTGGCCAAGGGGTGGCTGTGGGGGGGGGGGAGAAAGAGCTGGCAGGCAACCGAGAGATCTCTGTCTGTGTTGCTTTTCTTCCTCTCCTCAGACACACACGTTGCCGGATCAAAGCCACAGACCTCGGAGACAAAGGCCCTTTCTTTGCCCTCTCTGCGTTTCTGGCGGGGCCCAAAGCAAGGCGGGAAGGTTGCCCAGTTAAGGCTCGGAGAAAAAGAAGGGAAACCAGATTGTGAAAAGCCGTGGGGTGTTTTCTCCTCGAAAGGCTCAGCGTCTCGCCCTGCGCTTGCCTTCAGGCCAGAGGAGCAGAGGAACTCAGACTCTAAGAGCTGATGGCAGGTCGGGAGGGCAAGCTGAGGGCGGGGCGGGGGGGGCAGTTGGCATTTGAGATGCCTCTGCCGGACCACCGGGGGGCACTGGGCAAATCGGGTGACTGTACGAGGTACACCTTGTGGTAGGCTGAGGTCTGGGTAAAGTTATTTTGCTGGCCTACAGTTCTGGAGCATCCCCTGCCCAGCATGACCAGCAAGTGTCATGATAGGGAATTCTGGGAGTTATAGCCCTCCCTCCCCAAAAGTAACTTTTCCAAGGGCTGGGGATGTCTGCCACAGTCATCTCTCCCTACGGATGAACAGGGCCGCCATTTTGGAAGGGGTGGTCCCCTCTGGGGAATCTAACCTTTGGTCTTGCGGGCTGGTTGCACAGAAGATGTGAGACGTCAAGCTATGAGAGAGAGAGAGAGAGAGAGAAAGCGACGGAGGTCCCAAGGTCACCCCGTCAATTTCACCGGTCGGTTGGAAACTAGAAACTGGGTCTCCTGAGAAGGCCTGTTCAACACTTTGAACATGATCCCACCTAGGCTCCATCTTTGTATGGGCAGCGCTGATGAACGACCCATGATCTTGGGGAGGCGGGGAGCGTTCCAACGATGGAGACACTCAAAAGGGAATTGGACCACCCTTGGTCCGATGTGCTTTGATTTGGATTCCTGCCTTGACCAGGAGGATGGACTCCATGGCCTTAGAGGCCCCTTCCAACTCCGTTATTCTCGCATCCTGTGATTCTAAGCCATGACACCGGCTTCCCTGACCCTGGGAAGAGAGGAAAAGGCCCGCTTTCAATGGGAAGGCCTCCTTCTCCAGCGACCGAGGGAGGGAGCCTCTCTGCAGCTCTCATGACGGGATCCCTTTATAGCAGCCGTGCGGGTGAGTGACCCCCTTCAGGCATCTACCGCGCTCGAACAGGCACTTCCCTTCCCCTTCTCCTGCAGTGATGCTTCTCTTTCAGCGGATGAGCATCCTAACAGCCCATCATCAGCTAGAAACCGAGAACGCCAATTGGAGCCTGGCAGCCTCGCTGCTCCAATCAGGGCAGAAATCAGGGGATGCAGCTGTTGCCAAGGTTCCCAGCGCATCCGCTGGACCAGCCCTGACGACGCGGGGGCTCCCCCTTTTCCCCTCCCTGTCAATGCACCCGTATTTTCCATTTTTGCAGAGGGGGCCCTAGGTCCCGAGTTTACATCTCACGGGAGGAAAGCACATTTTCACCTGTTCAACTGAATCCCTGTGGTTTTTAAAGCGACTCCTTAAGTTTATCTTTTGATTCCTTCCTATTTCTCAGCAACCCCAAAAAAACACACTCTTGCTTAGATCGCCCTCTGGCGGACCACGGAAAATGAAAGCCTGGCCCGCCTGGGTCAAACCTGGCCGATCCTCAGCAGGGGTGGGCAACGTGTGGCCTTCCAGATGCCTTTAGGCAAAATCATTTCCCAACATCATCCTACACTGCTGGCTGTGTGGGCTGGGGCCAATGAGTGAGGCAACATCTGGATGGCCCAGGTCTGGAACATAGAAAGCTTCCATTTTTTGATTGTCACTCCCAAAATCTCCTTGCCAACGGGGACTACAACTCCCAGATTCCACGGCCACCATGGCCAGAGGCCGGGCAAAACAGCGAACATGACCACGGTCTTCTGCACATGGTGATTTGTGCGAGGAAGTGCTTTCTCCAACCTGTCCAGAATAGACTCTTGATTTCAATCAATTTACATTCTATATAGGAGAGAAAAGGGAGGTTGGGTCACCTCCGGTCGTGGATGTTTTCCTGGTAGGCTCCTGCATTTCACTGTGGAGTGGACGAGTCTTGGGGTGACCACCTGTTTTCTACACTCCAGAAACTGGGGGGGGGGACACCAATTTGCAAAGCAGAAAGTGGGGAAGCGCCAGGCTGTGGGTCCAAGGTGAGTCTCTTGCACTCAGTCCAGACCCGGGCTACTCTCTCACTCGCTCTCCTCCGAACGACTGGCACGGTGCGTTAGTGTGTGTGCCAGCAAGTTGATCTGGACATAGTGCAACCCTTTCCAGGGTTTTCCATGTACAGGAGTTACTTAGAGGTGGTCTTTTTTCTTAAATGGGGGAGCCCTGGGACTCCTGTGCCGTTTGCGCAAGGCCACACAGGATGGTTCTACTTGCGGGAGGTGCCGTGGGGGATCGAACTCCCAACTTCTGGTTCTGCAAGCCACAGAATCAAAGCACTGAACTATCCAGCCAGCTACTGGCATTATATATATATATCCATCCCTATTCTGCCCCAACCGGACACCTGCCAATTTGATTTTATTCTATTCAGTCATTCAAACGGTCTCCACGGGTGCAACCATGTTAAGACAGTTGCAGTGAAAACCCACAACAACGCACCTTGCAGAGCAAACTCACTTCTTACACCATAAGACTTCATGAGCTAGTAGGTACATTGCAGGAAAGAACTATGACTCCCATTTGGCAAAGTCACAGGATCAGGATCTCTACCAGAGGTGTCATAGGTTGGTGGGAGATGGTTGGACTACAACTCCCGGAACTGTCTGGGATCAACAGTTATACTAAACGGGAGGACTCTGGGAGTGGTAGTCCCAAGACCCTTGCACCTCTACCCTTCCAGTTTCTGCATTTCCAGCCCCTCGAGAGTATGGACACCCCCCCCAAAGCAGCCACGCACGGGTGTGCACACCCCCGGAATCTGATGACCGGGCCTTGGCCTTGGAACGCTTGACGTCCTCAAGAGAATTAGCGACGTCAAGACAGGGTTACACAGAGTGCCGGGCCGCCTTTCGGGACCTCAAATGATGTTCATTTGAACACTTGAACCTCAGGATTCTGCTTCCGAGGCGCTTCAATTGTCGTTTTGATGGGGTGATGATGTCGGGCATGGAAATGCAGCCGGCACGGGGGCGGGGGGTTAGGGTGACCCAGAGTCGTGCGAAGGACCTCGACAGGCAGTATATGAAAGCAAGAAGGAAAGAAGGACGGACACAACTCAAATGTATCGAAACATTGACTGGTGTTATAGAACAGATGCAAGTTTTAACCCAAAATGGCGCAGGATGTAGGCTGTTCCTAATATTGCCTTTTTTTGTAATAATAATAATAATAATAATAATAATAATAATAATAATAATAATAATAATAATAATTTATTGTCATTGTAAGTATATACGCAGTATACCATACAACGAAATTCACAGACACCCAGAGACCAGACACATGCACACACATAACATTCCCCAAACACTCCCCACCCACTAGAAGTCCCCCACTAAAAATACAAACATAGCTCTGACGGGTGTGATTTCTGAGATCTGCAACTGCTTATAGTTATTATTACTGTTATAGTTATGCTGATTGTTATTATTCTTATTCTTAATCCTGAATAAACGCAAATCAGAGAGTAAAGAATCGCTTCCAGCGGATGCCCTGACTTCCAGTTTGGGCAAAATAAAAAAGAAATGGGGAAGTCTTTAAAGTGGTAAAATATTCTTTCTTTCTTTCTTTCTTTCTTTCTTTCTTTCTTTCTTTCTTTCTTTCGTCTCTTGCTTTTGGTATTTACTTCCGAGTAGACCTGCCGATGCGCGCTCCACGCGCCCGCCCGCCCGCGCCGAGATCCCAGAGCGGCCAGCAGGGGCAAAATACAGGTAACTAGAAGAAGATTGAAAAACCAG